GTAGGGAAACAGAATGAGAAAAAGGGCAATAAAGTGAGAAATCACCCCCTAGATGGGATGGCCATACTGCAATCCCTTCTCCATTCTCTTCTAGGAATTTTGGGCATGCACGCCCAAGCACGCGGGATGTTTTTCAAGCTGCTGGGTCCAGGACTCAAACTGTACAGTCAGCCTTAGCCTCCACGCCCCCTGTCAGCCTGGGTCAGGCTACTTTTGCCTGTGAGAATCTTTCATCTTGTGGTTGTTCTTTGTCACTGATGTACAACACACCATTGTATAAATATAGTGTAATGAGCCCATCCTCTGTGGCCCAGACTGTGGAGCTAGACGTTGATTGAGGTTTGAATCCTCAGCCCAGCTAGCCTAAAAACACTGCAGGTACATGAACCCAGGATCCTGGTGGGCTGGAAGGCTGGACGAAGGGGATCATGCTGTGAACAAGCCCACAGAGGGTGCCCCCATCTCTTGTGTGCATACATGCTCTCTATCATGAATATAAATATATATACATACATGTAAATATAGTGCAATACATTTACTCATCCCGTTGTTAGACTTTTGCTTTTTGTTATTTCCAGTTTGGGGCTATTACAAATGGTACCACCACGAAGATTTGTATACGTGTCTTCCAGTATGTAATTAAGAGGTGAATTACTGGGTCATAAAGCTGGCATTTAGCAGTTTTATTAGATACTGCTGAATAGGTTTCCAATGAGTTTATGGTTATTTAATTTGTATTAAAAAAAGAATAGCACCCAGAATTCCCTGTGTTTGGAGCTGGTGCAGGTGTTTTACTCGTGCTCAGTCTGTTCTCCTAACCTGGAGTTACTCCCAATTCCCTCCCATACTGCCCTCATTTCCAGGGAGCCTGGTGGGGCCTGGGGCCTCCCTTAACAGAGCCCAGCTCTGGTAAGGCCCTTTGCATAGGAAGCCCTGAAGCCTCAACACCATTGCTGTTAACACACGGTTTTCTTGGTACACGGGCCGACTGGGCAGCGATGGAGCAGCCATATAACATCTACCGGCTCCTTCCAGGCAAGAGGAATACGAGGAACCATCTGCAGCCTTCCCTGAAAACATGCAGTATCTCCAGGACAGCTCTGTACTGCAGGTCCTTCCAGTTGGCCAGACTGCCCAGTGCCTGGGACTGTGGGAGTGTTTGGCAGAAACAAGAGACCACAGTTCTCTTCATGTGGTGTCCTTTCTGCCCCCCACCTCCCTGTGAGTGCCATCCATTCCACACAGGCCAGCACAGTGGCTTGCTCACTGTATACACTTGGCAAATGTTTGGCAAAAGGAATTGACAATTAGGAATAGCTCCAGACAGCAGGCAGTTAACAGCCAGCCTGTGTGTTTGAGAGACCTCATATCAGTAGCAGTTTTTAAAAACTTATTTTTCTTAACTTTATTTATTGTTATTATTATTATTATTTTCCAGTTTGATCAGACAGAGAGAGGGGAAGTGAGAAAGCAAGCCACCAGGTCCAGGACTTGAACCACAGTCTGCTATGTGGAAGTCAAGCGCCTTTAACCACCACGTCACTTGCCAGCCTCCCCCCCTTTTTTTGGTAGAGGTTCTTACCTTAGAGCATGTGCGCTCGCTGGAGAAAGAGAGACAGAAACAGTGAGAGAGAAAGTGAGAAATCACCCCCCAGGGAGACGGCCATACTGCAATCCCTTCTCTTCCTGGGATCTTGGGCATAGGTGCACACGTGCCTAGCGTGAGTTTTAAGCCACTGGACCTGGGACTGAAACCATGGTTGGCCATGTGGGAGTCCAGTGACGTTCCTCTACACCACCTGCTGGCTCAAGGAACAGTTTTCAGAAGTTGGCTAAGAAGACTTTATATGATGGCTGGCCTTAATCTGGTTGAAAGGAGGGTGAGCGTTGGCTATGAGAAAAGCACTAGAGGGCGTGGTGGCGCCCGCCCTATGGCAAAAACCTATGGAGGCTGGAGGATTGCGGCATCGAGTCCATCTCACTCTCTCTCTCTCTGTCTCTCTCGGCGAGTGCACGATTAAAAAAAAAAAAAAAAGCACTAGAAAGGCATTCTAGGTAGAAAGATAGCATAAAACCGGGGAGAGGATCGCAACCAAATACACAGGCCCAGAAAGGAAAAATAAATGCAAGAAATAGTGATTGTGGGGGACTATGGTAAATTTAGGTGCCCTCAGAGGGCAGCTACCACTTGTCAGTCCTTGGTGGCAGATTGGAGTATGAGCCCTTCTTAGATCTTCCAATATTTCAAAAGAAGCCTAGAAAATAGATTCCTGGGTCAGCTGGGTGGTCTGGTTAAGGGGGCTGGATGGTCCACCACAGTTCAAATCCATCCCTCAGCTTGAAAAACACCAGGCACTGCGCATGTGTGTCCCAAATTCTAACAGACTGACCACAAGAAGAAGGGATTGTGGCATGACCACGCCCCACTGGGGGTCCTTTCTCCCTCTCACTCTTT